GTCTTCGAATGACACTTGAGGACGAACAAACTGGAGTTCAAACTGCTGCATTGAGAAACTAGTCTGTAACAAGAGTATAGATCATTCTGTGTGCGCTGACGGATGACAATGAACTGAACATACCCGTAGAGATAATAGAAGAACGAGATAATGTAGAAGGCTAACTTCACCCAGCCTTCACGCATCGCCTTGTTTAGCTCATCTGTATTCATTATCGTTGTTGGGTCATAAAGTCCCGGTCCCCTTATAACAGGACGGTGCATGTAACTGCAAAATGAGCACCAGAAAGTTCAAAAGCGATTTACCGATAAACATGATAGGCCATCAGTGGAATGTTGAAAATTGCCGTTCCCAGTTGAAACGTGATAATGAAGAGCACTGTATATGCACCATGCAAAAGGTACTCAGGGAGAACCAGCTGAGTAACAGCATTTGATTAGAAAGCGGAAACCACATACCGGATTGAGAGACTTGCACTGGTCCACCGGATTTTTATGATCCGTCTTCAGCTCATCGAACGAAATAACCTAAAAACTCGAAGTGTTGAGAAATGCGACACTTACATGGAAAATGGTTAAAAATATAAGCGCAATGGTGAAGATTAGAGCTAATATGTAGGCCACTGCCACCAAGCCGAAAGCCATTGGGATATAGGATTGGTTTCGAAAGTAAAACGAGACGTCTTTGATCAAGAGCGATCACAAATGATCTAAAATGGCAAAATAACAGTAAGTATATGAGCGTAAATGAAATGTCTCGTGGACTTCGAATAATCTGTCACGACTAGATTCCCTGAAATTAACTCAGTGCCGAAATGATCACAAACTCCGCGGAAATCGCTTCAGAAAGACCGCCGAGTCTGTGGATCAGAAGGGTCGGCTGCCAACGAAATGCTCAAACAGCTACTCGGAAAGAACCCACGATGCTCCAATGTTCATGTAAGTTATAGAAGTAACGCCAGTGAAACACTCAAAGCCAACCGGTCGAAAGCGCGCTCCAATGCCGTGAATTGTCATGTGGTTTTGCACTTGTCTGTCAGTAACAGAACTGTTGTGTTCTTGTTTGGTAAACCTATTCCCGTTACCAAGGTTCTGGAATCGGGGGTTGTAGTTAGTTATAACAGAATCAAGTCATTCGGCCCCAACACTATCGAAAAGAGAATTAAACATAGTGAAGTCACCGTCTGTGGGCCTCGGCAACCCAGGAGGCTGTACTGGAGGGTGTTCATGCAACAACAGGCTATCTCAAGCCAGGCTGGCAAATGGATTGGGGATTAACAAATACGGTTCTCTGTCCATAGGTCCGAGGGTTAGA